TTAGTCCTGGGTTAGTCCTGGTTTAGTCCTGGGTTATTCCTGGGTTAGTACTGGTTTAGTTTTGGGTTAGTCCTGGTTTAGTCCTGGGTTAGTACTGGTTTAGTCCTGGGTTAGTCCTGGGTTAGTACTGTCCTGGGTTAGTCCTGGGTTAGTCCTCTTTTAGTCCTGTTTTAGTCCTAATTTTGTCCTCTTTTAGTTCTGGAATTAGTCCTAGATTAGTCCTGGGTTAGTCCTGGGTTAGTCCTGGTTTAGTCCTGGTTTAGTCCTCTTTTAGTTCTGGAATTAGTCCTAGATTAGTCCTGGGTTAGTCCTGGTTTAGTCCTGGGTTATTCTTGGGTTAGTCCTGGTTTAGTCCTCTTTTAGTTCTGGAATTAGTCCTAGATTAGTCCTGGGTTAGTCCTGGTTTAGTCCTGGGTTATTCCTGGGTTAGTACTGGTTTAGTTTTGGGTTAGTCCTGGGTTAGTCCTGGTTTAGTCCTGGATTTGTCCTCTTTTAGTTCTGGAATTAGTCCTAGATTAGTCCTGGGTTAGTCCTGGGTTATTCCTGGGTTAGTACTGGTTTAGTTTTGGGTTAGTCCTGGGTTAGTCCTGGTTTAGTCCTGGTATAGTCCTGGTTTAGTCCTCTTTTAGTTCTGGAATTAGTCCTAGATTAGTCCTGGTTTAGTCCTGGGTTATTCCTGGGTTAGTACTGGTTTAGTTTTGGGTTAGTCCTGGTTTAGTCCTGGGTTTGTCCTCTTTTAGTTCTGGAATTAGTCCTGGGTTAGTCCTGGTTTAGTCCTGGGTTAGTACTGGTTTAGTCCTGGTTAGTCCTGGGTTAGTCCTGGTTTAGTCCTGGGTTAGTACTGGTTTAGTCCTGGGTTAGTCCTGGGTTAGTACTGTCCTGGGTTAGTCCTCTTTTAGTCCTGTTTTAGTCCTAATTTTGTCCTCTTTTAGTTCTGGAATTAGTCCTAGATTAGTCCTGGGTTAGTCCTGGTGTAGTCCTGGTTTTGTCCATGGCGTGTGCGATGCAAAAGTTGAGTATATCGAACAGTGTTTCTTCTGCTCAGTAAATAAATCCTGTGAAGTGATGTATTTTTGAGAGTCGAGTTGCGTCTGTGAATTCATGTTCGTCCTGAAGAAAGCGAAACCGTTTCATTTCATTTACTGATTTTTATTCTCGAAGTCGTAACTTTTCAATCCGTATTCTGATGGATGCTTCAGTTATAATGATTTTAATTTGTGTGTGGTTTATAGCGGGCACGGGTGTGTAACGGTGGAATGTTAACGGGTCCAGGCGGGTGCGGGTTTAACTTTGATAAAATCATAGGTTAACGGGCGGGTGCGGTGCTGTACTACCCAACTCTGCCACCTGGCCAAGTTACAGGTCAGATCTGTGGAGAGGGGCCCCACTCCCAGTAAGAATGTGCGTTTTTTAAGGTTTCGTTGAACCCCCGTAATGAAATAAATGCATAGGTTTGGTCCAGTATTGTGACGCATTCCAGACAAAGCAATAAGAGCCAGTGTTCTATTGAAATGAGCTCCCTGCAGACTAAATCGACAGTGACGTCTATCGATTCACACTACCCCGTTGAAATAAGTGACCTTCCGTTTTTTCCGTTTACAGTTGTATAGATCCAATAAAGCCAAATTCTGACCTCCCCAGTTTTTACAACATATTTCTTTGGATTAGAGATGCAGGTTTGATGCCGTTTGCACACGGTGATCAAAGTTTATACCTTAGTTATGTCAAATTTCAACTCATTTATATGAATATGCGTTGGTAGCTCATTTTGACAGTCGTATTGTGCTATCAAATAGGGCTCAGACTAAAGGTAGCACATATCGACAGGCCAATTTAGCCATGCTCCTCTTATAGAATCACCATTATTAACTCATTTATTTATGAATTTGGGTAGAGGTAGCAAATCTTGACTATATCTTCTCCCAAATAATGCATCCAGTAGGGCACAAACCTCACCTTTGTGACACTGAGAACACTGAAGACAGGACAATTCCATGCAATTCAGTTTTATTTATATAGCGCCAATAACAATGGACTTGTCTCTTAGTCATGATGGACGAGGACAGAAAAAGGGACAACAGAAAAAACATTATAACAAAAAAATATATATACAGAGGATTCAGGGAGGGACATTTATCCCATCTGTGCCTCGGGAGCCCAAACCGACAGACGTTTAAACTGTGACAGCGCTTGAGGGTTGTAGCTCAAATCGATGAGTAGCTCAGATTGACAGAACAACAGCATCAGAAAAGTTACATGGCCCACCTTTAAAGACGGGGTTAGTAAATCGACATTTTGGAGCGTTCTTTTATCTCTTCAAAACCATGTCTGAAGAGGTTTTAGATGTTATCCATGCATGTTTGAGTAATCCAGTGATCTCTGCCAGGGCCCTATTTTCGAATCCTCATCTCGGTTAGGTGTACGCCATGCTCTTACTACAAGGCCACGCCCTCCTCAGCTCCCCCCTCATCGAACGGCGAGCGACAGAGAGAGACAGCATCAAAAATGAAACTGAAACTAAACCTTAATACGTTGTTTTTGGCCAATAGAACTTAATTAAAAATAATGAAAGGTAACATGCGTGGTGATCTAAATATGTGTTAGAAATTAGTAGAAATGTAATAGCTCTTCTTTAAGTTTAGACATTTGATGCACAGTGTGTAGCGCTAAAGAGATAATGACATATTGTTTCATAAATGGACATGTGTAGAGCCTGCAGTTTTTGATTTCCAATAGAGTTCAGCCGCTCCATTTCACTCACTCTGTCCCTGATATGGGTCAGACTCATGGATCTATAATAAAAACTAGATAAGCCCCTCCCCCCTCTGTCCCGGCTCAAGACAGACTAGTGGCCGCTCCAGGTACTGCAGCTCATGGGAGTGTGGACCTAGAAAGAATTCTCCCACAGAGCGCAATGCATTTTATGGGAATTCAAACTGCTCGTGTTCTGACAGGGCATGGGCAACTTTCACAAAGGTTGGATTTTGTAGGGATTCTTTTCTATTTTCACAGCGTAAACCTTTTAAAATGTTAAAATCCTCAAAGCACCTAAAAGTGATCTTTGTCAGACTTCTGATCTGAGCCACTCTAGCAGCTCTCGCTCTGATTGGTCCAAACAGAACGCGGCAGTAAGAGCTGTGTAAATGTCTTGTTAACATTGGTGGCGTCAGTCACACAATGGACGACGTCGTTAATAATCGGCGTTGATAATAATCTGATTCTTCATCATTTTGAGTAAAAACATCCAATATTACAGATTTTTACCGGGCTGATGCCTTTACGTTTGTACTCAAAGTGATTTTTTTTAAATAAACAATATGACACTAACAGTAGGTGGACATAATTTTAGGTGATCTCATATAGAAAGCATTTCTCTATCAATAATATTTTTTATCTGGTTAAGGAAAGACTGGGCTTTTTATTCTCTGTAAGCAGACAAAACTTTATATGTGAAGATTTCCTCGTCTTTGCTTCTCTAGAGTAAACAACTGCCTGTTCATGGAGACTTTGGCTCAACAGACAATTTGAAGAGAACAAACAAGAATTTTCAGGATGTGGTTCGCTACATTCATGCAGTTTTAAAAAGCACGACAACATCAAGTAATCCAAAGTATTCAGATTACGTTACTCACTTTAAGTAATTTAATGGATTATGTTACAAACTACATTCTGGGATATGTAATCTGTAATCTGTAATCTGTAGGGGAATACATTTTAAAAGTCACCTTCCCAACTCTGGGTGTTAAACATGTGTGAATGAAACAAAACACAACTCCAGGTCTGTTTTGGGGATATTTGGGAGGAAACAACATTATAAAATAGATCAGAAAACAGCATAATATGGACCTTTTTAAGCTCGAGTCAGTCTGAGATATGAGCTACAGATGACAGTGTGGATTGTGTGTGGTCCACAGAACGGTCATCATGATTCAGCAGAAGTCCAGTCCTCACTGTGTCTCCTGGAGCTGTCATGTATTTGTTCAGTCAGAGTGCAGGAAATACACCACATTGTTTCGGTTATTGCGATGTCCGGCTGACCCTCAAGGTTCAAGTTTTTATCCTGTACAAAATATCTGTCACCGTGGAGACAAGCAGGTCAAGTTACAGGTAAGATCTGTAGAGAAACAAACACGATCATAGTGAGCAATCATGTTTTTACTGAGTATTTCTTTCCAAACCAAACACATGTGCAAGAGTAAACGCCAAGGTAACTTTTTAGAGGGTAGACTGTCTGGAATATTCTGCAGTACGTCAGCACGTGAAGTTACAGCTCAGATCTGTGCGGAGGCCACCACAGTAAAAATGCATGTTTGTCAATGTATTTGAATGATACAAACACTTCTAATTGAATAAGTCAAGACATACTGTATAAGTTGAATGCCATACTGTGGAGCTTTCCAGTCAACATAAGAACAAGAGAGACGAGCAGCGAACTCTTCACCAGAAAAGTTACACAGTCCACCTTTAACATAGATGTTCTGTGGAACATGTAAACCAAAGCAAAAAAAAATAAAAGCGCAACAAATAAGACCACGCCCTAGAAAAGTTTTGCATTGTACTAATTGAAAATATGCTTACTTTTGGTTATCAAAAGTGTAGAAAATCAATCAGTTGTGTGGTCCTCTTTGTCTTTGTGTTATTTATTTTATTTATTTAACTTATTTACTGCTTTTTAAAAATGATTTTTATGGTTTTTAATTTATTTAGATTTGACTGGTTTTATTGTTTTAGGACTGGGATGACCAAATTTTCGCAATTTACGTTTTTGTTGTCTTCATTTTATGATCTCTGTGCTGCACTTTGGAAACTGCTTTGTTTATAAAATGTGCTGTAGAAATAAAGTGGATTTGGATTTAACTAAAGAGTGTGTTTTTTTTATTATCATCATGGTGTCGTAATCGGTTTTGAGCATCGAGTCTATTCCTTAGTACTGAAATCAAATGACAAAACTAATTTATACCAAAAAAATGATGAGAAATGTCTTTGTCTTTTGTCCACAGAAGATTTGCTTTCCTCCGCACTGACCTCATCATGCTCTGACCGTACTCAAGAATCCACTTCCAGTCTGAGTGAGTCATGCACACATCCTCTTAAAATGTCTGCATCACCAATCTATGTTTAGAAACAGTACAATACTACGTTACGCACAACCTGACCTAATCGCATGTGCTCTTAATTGAGGAAGCCGACATGAAACTAACAACCTTTTGGCTAACGAGCGTCTGTAACCTTATCCCCCTGCAGCTTGTGCGTGTGGCGGCGTGGGCGGTCCCTTATAGCTCCGGAGCCTAGACCAGAGCACCATGGGAGGAGTGGCGCTGGACGACGGGGGCCCGGCGGTCAAGGCCCCGGACGGAGGTTGGGGCTGGGCGGTGCTGCTGGGCTGCTTCGTCATCACGGGCTTCTCCTACGCCTTCCCCAAAGCCGTCAGCGTCTTCTTCAAGGAGCTGATCCGCGAGTTCGGCGTGGGCTACAGCGACACGGCCTGGGTCTCCTCCATCCTGCTGGCCATGCTCTACGGCACAGGTACGCACGGCTCGGCCCGGAACGCGTGAAGCAGCACCTCGTATTCACTGCCACAAAGTTATTTCATGTCAGCATAAAGGAACTGAGGTGGAAAATGATATTAATACTTGCTCACTTTCAGTTTGATTACTTTTTCCAGAAACAGTAAAACATAATTACAGTCACAGGTCCCTAGCCTGATTCGTTATTTAACCAATCACTGCTATTTGGTCGTGACGTATCGCGTTTTCCGCACTATAGGTCTCTCGGGATTATAAGACGCACTGTCATTAAATGGTCTATTTTCAAACTTTTTTTCACAAATAAACCGCACCGGACTTTAAAGGAAACACAACAGTGTGATGGGTGAGTGGTTTTGTTTGTTTGTGGCGTTCACGGTGACTCTGGGCTTTGTTCAGTTGTGGCGTGTAGGGAGGGTGCTGTCTGGGACCAACGGATTGTCGGCGTGTTCGCAGTGACTCAGTTGTTCAGTTGTGTCTAGAAGTAGCACATCGCGCTCGCTTTTTCGGTTCGTTCCTCTATTATTCGATAGAATAATGTTTGAAATAAAACTAACCTTGCTTCGCATGAATCGCCGCATGTTGAGGGACTATTTTCTCATATATCAGTCCGCCGCTATCGAGCTTTCTATCAGAAAGTACAACTCACTGCTGCTGCTGCTCAGACATAAATCTTTCAAATGCGAGGTTGGTTTTACATCGAAACAGACATTCACATGGACAGTCTGGTGTAATAATAGATTTACTTCAGGTGTTTTGTGGAGTGGGTAAGGAGAACTATGACCATTGACATGCACTAGTCTAACACCAGCGACCTCTGCAAATACAAGGACTGGATGGAATATTTAAAAAAGTGTCTCCACACGTCTCCAACACTCTGGCTCACAAGGAAATGAGGTCCTATGTCCAAAATTCCGAACTGTCCCTTTAAGTCTCCTCAGAGTAATGTATAACACAAAGTGCAGTGTTTTACCTGTAAATATTCAAAGTCTGTTTGAGATGAGAACAAGCCACTACAGTTTAAAAGGAACCTACATGTGTAATCTAGTTTCCTTATGGCTGAAACATAATTCTGCAGATTTTTTTAAAAGTAAAATGTTTTATAATGCGACCTCTGCAAATACAAATAAAAAAGTGTCTCCACATTTCTCCAACGCTCTGGCTCACTAGGAAATGAGGTCCAAAATGTGTCCAAAAATTCCGTACTGTCCCTTGTAGTGTCTCGCCCAAGGACACAACAACAGCATTCATCTGTTGGAAGGAGTGGAATCACACCGTCAACCTGTTAGTCAGGGGATTTGATCGCTCAACCAACGATGTTTACGTCGATTCAAGTCACCAACCTTCAGATCAGTGGACAAACACAAAATCTTGCATAAAAAAGCAGTTTATCAGTGAGTCTATCAGTATGTGAGCAGCAAACTCGGACATAAACTCACTGGCACAGAAAGCGAGGTGTATTTGTAATAGATGTATCACATTTATATGAGTGTGTGGTGTTGCGAAAACTCTATATTTCTCCATCTGGTCTGGAAAGGCTTGTGTGTATGATTGATGTCACAGCGCTCTGTTCCCACTGGACTGTGTCTGGAGTGTCCTTTCAGTCTCCAGTCTGGGGCTGGCTCCTGTACACGCTGTGCTGAACTGTCGTTATAGAATCAGAGAGGCCCAATCGAACTCGTCTGTGCATTTGAGAAGACGGTACAGGAGGAACAATACCACCTCGAATCTTCCTAAAGCAGATAATACACGCACCAAGAATCTCAGACTTTCGGTCATTGCACAATCCATACTGGGAAGGATTTTCCGAAAAAGTGAGGATCAAACCGCCATGTTTGTTTTCCCATTGGGATCTGTCTATTGACAAAGCCGATATTTTCAAGTCTTTTGAACCATATCACTTTTGTGTCTGGTTCTGATATTGTCATATTTAAGTTTTGGGATTCGGACATTGTAATTGTGTGGTTGTTGGATGTTCTAACAGCGGAAAACGGCTTGAAAAATTGATTTGTGAACTCCAAACCTCTGTTCAAACTGTTTCCCTTCCCGACGGAATTGAAAAATAGTGAAAGGTGAAGGCAATGGGCAGGATTGATCCACAGGAAGAACCAAAAAGGAAGTGAACATTTTGTATGTGAAGCGCCAACAAAGCGGGATCCTGTTTGTTAATCGAGAGGTGCAGAAGACAAACAGACTGAGCTGCACTTTCTTGTTCTTGTGGTTTTACAGCAACATCACATCTTGGTCTCTTTGCAGTGGAAGGTGTTTCTTGGCAAACAGCTGGTGCCTTTCGCTTTGGCGTTGATTTTTAAATTCGTAATCAAGGTTGAGTGAGGGATCAGGGTTTTGCTTTGTTGGCGCTCCACATACAAAATGTTCTCTGCAAACTCGGGATGATTTAGGCAGTCAAAGGTTTCCTTTTTGGTTCTTCCTGTGGATCAATCCTGCCCATCGCCTTCACCTTTCACTATTTTTCAATTCCATTGGGAAGAGAGACAGTTTGAACAGAGGTTTGCAGTCACACACATCTGATTCCCTTTTGCATTTATGGAGTTCGCAAACACATTTCTCTAGTCGTTTTCCACTGTTAGGATCTAACAACCACACAACTAACAATGTCCGAATCCCAAAACTAAAATATGACAATATCAGAACCAGAAACAAAAGCGATATGGTTCAAAAGACTTGAAAAGATCGGCTTTGTCAATAGACGCATCCCACTGGGAAATCAAACATGGAGGTTTGATGCTCACTTTTTCAGAAAATCCTTCCCAGTATGAATTGCACAATGAACGGAAGTCCGAGATTCTTGATGCGTCTATTAAAACAAGTATTGAAACTAGATATTCATTTGAGCAGGTTTTGAGTCTAAAATGTGGCCAGAGCTTCTTGTCAAAGCCTGAGCTCGTCAAATCCCAGATGGTAAGAAGGTCGTCCTCTGCTGAAAATAGTAGATAATAATTTTGGCGGCACAAACAAACCAAGGTTAATGTCGCACTATGTTATTTTTCTAGAGGAAGTTCACCATCTGCTTGTATTTGTCTCGTCTTTATTCAATTACAGCTGTTTTTGTTGCTCTAAAATACCTTGAAAAGTGCTGCTGCTATTGCTACTCTCCACAAATCTCACCTGTAACTTGACCTTAACAGCTGGTCTCCACGAATATCGAAAAGATGAATGAATTATACATCGGTAGAGAGGTCAAAATACACTGACCCACAGGTTGGCGGTGCGATTCCAGCTCCCGCAGATGAATGCTATCATTGTATCCTTGGGCAAGACACTTAACCCCCGTCGCCCCAGTGTCTGAGTACACCGGTGAGTAAGTGGGTGAGTGGTTCCTTGACGTAAAGTGCTTCGAGTGCCTTGAAGGTGGAAAAGCTGGATATAAACATGTGACCATCTACTGCCCGGAACATTCCAGACAGAGTAAAAGATAAAGTAAAAACATCTCTGAGCAGGTGACAGACCCGTACACAGCGCAACTGTAAATAATTTAGTCTAGCATTTTTGTTCTTATTTGTTTATTTATTTAATTCATTTCAAGTATAAAAAGACATTAACAGTGTCACAAGAAATTAATGAACACATACAAGAAATGAATGAAAAGGAGCAGAAAGAAGAGCCATCTTATGTTCTCTGCCCCATTTTCCTGACAAAACATCAACAGATGGCGAGGAGAAAATTCAGTTTGTCGACTGGACAAAAGTTAGTTTGATTGACGACGTTTCGCAGCTCATCCAAGCTGCTTCTTTAGTTCTGGTCAGACGCTGGTGGACACTTCCTTATATCTGTCTGCAGGGAGGAGCTAACTAATTACTCTGAAACTAACACACACACTTGTTTACAGTTTCTGTTTGTTAGTTCGGCCTATTGACCTGTACTGAGTGTGGTCTAATTAGCACAACAATTCAGGACCATAATGGAGCTTCCTCATGTCTGGACCTGACCTGGCTACACCTGTTGTTCTCTTGTCTGTTTTGAATTAGGTTTGAGGATGGAGTTGTAAATAAGAGATAGATGGTGTCTGACGCCTCCTCCTATTTCCTCCTATCTCCTATTTACAACTCCATCCTCAAACCTAATTCAAAACAAACAAAAGGACAACAGGTGTAGCCAGGTCAGGTCCAGAGGTGAGGAAGCTCCATTATGGCCATGGATTGTTCTGCTAATTAGACCCCACACTCAGTACAGGTCAATAGGCCGAACTAACAAACAGAAACTGTAAACAAGTGTGTGTGTTAGTTTCAGAGTAATTAGTTAGCTCCTCCCTGCAGACAGATATAAGGAAGTGTCCACCAGCGTCTGACCAGAACTAAAGAAGCAGCTTGGATGAGCTGCGAAACATCTTCAACCAAACTAACTGTAAAGGTCAAGTTGGCTCTTGTATACATTGGCACACAGTCCATGGCTTTTAATGGTGGGGTTGCGCTTTTATTTTGGTGACTTACGGTGTGAGCGGAGATGAAGGTAGTGTTGTGGAAAAAATTATATATCTCTTGAAGATAAATAATGAATCAATTTGCGAAGCCTGATGAGTTTTTGGAATATAGATCGAGGTTTATTCTTGTTACAGCAGAAATGGACAAGGCCTAGGCCTGCCCTGGCCAAAGCCCAACAGCCTCTCCCCACCAGCAGTATGTTCCTACTACATCTCCCACCGTATCTCCCAGTCTCTCCCCATGTATCTCTTCCAGAGCATTTGAGCTCTCAGTATTTATACAGAAATACAAGTTACATACATATCAATGCAGAGTGACTGTGGTTTCAGAGGCTGGTGCTAAATGAACGAACAGTTGATGATAACAAAAGGCTTCCTGAAGGCGGAGACAGTTGTGCCTGATGAACCTTTACACATGTTAATGACTGCTCTGGGTTTCAGGGAGAAATCACATTAACTTACACAAGACAGACTGAGAGAAATCTTTCCACAATCTAAATTTCTATCACAGTAGAAACACTGGCTTGGTGTAAGGAAAGGACGCAGGATAAACACCTCAGTGTTAATGGTGAAGAGCAAAACAACAGTGAAAAGTTATATAAACACTAAAGATGGCAACAGTCGACAGGGCAACAAGGTTTGTTTTGCTTGTGAATGTATATTTGAGCTTCTTGTTATTTTTATCAAATTAATGTTAAATATTGATAACGGTTAAACAATGTAATGAGCTAGTGATGCTGTAATCTGTTATTGCTGTTATTTTGTTCTTGTCTAGCTCTTACGTTGGTTCTATGACACGGCAAGGAAAGATTAAAAACTCATTTAACCATCAATTCTGGCCTTCTCAATTCGACTGGATGCTACACTAACTTTTGTGCAGTCGACAAACTGAATTTTCTCCTCGCCATGGATTCTACCTGGACGACTGAGGGATTCTTCACACAACATCAACAGATAGTTACTTCAAAACATTTCAAATCAGTACAATCACATCAATTGCAAACAGAAATCTTCACTTTTATGCACAACAGCTTAGTTTCCTTTTTCATACATGCACATTGCTCTGGATTTTATGTGTTTTTTTTTAAATGCCGTCATTGTACTTGATTCTTTTATATCTTTGTCAAGACTCTTCCATAAATTAACTCGTTTTACAGCGATGCTTCGCTCCATAATCTTGGTTCTGAATCTGGGCTTTATCCAATCCAATCCAAGTTTATTTGTATAGCACATTTATAAACAAAACAGTTTCCAAAGTGCTTCACATAGCATTATAAAACATTCTGCTTTAAAAAAAATCTGCAGAATTATGTTTCAACCATAAGGAAACTAGATTAAACATGTAGGTTCCTTTTAAACTGCAGTCAAACAGTCTTTGAATATTTACAGGTAAAACATTGCACTTTGCTTTATACATTACTCTGAGGATAATTAAAGGGACAGTTTGGTAGTTTGGACATAGGACCTCATTTCCTAGTGAGCCAGAGTGTTGGAGACGTGTGGAGACACTTTTTTAAAATATTCCATCCAGTCCTTGTGTTTGCAGAGGTCGCTGGTGTTAGACTAGTGCATGTCAATGGTCATAGTTCTCCTGCCACTAAAAACAGTCTTACTCACTCCACAAAACACCCGAAGAAAATCTGTTATTACACCAGATTGTCAGTGTAAACGTCTGTGTCAATAAAAAAATTTTAGACGTAAAACCAACCTTGCATTTGAAGGATTTACATCTGAGCAGCAGCAGCGAGTTGTTCTTCTTGACAGAAAGCTCAACAGCGGCGGACTAATATATGAGAAAATAGTCCCTCAACATGCGACAATTCATGCGATGCAAGGTTAGTTTTATTTGAAACATTATTCTATCGACACAGACATTTACATGGTGTAATAATAGATTTACTTCAGGTGTTTTGTGGAGTGGGTAAGACTTTTTTTAGTGGCAGGACAACTATGGCCATTGACATGCACTAGTCTAGCACCAGCGACCTCTGCAAATACAAGGACTGGATGGAATAGTTACAAAAGTGTCTCCACACGTGTCCAACACTCTGGCTCACAAGGAAATGAGGTCATCTGTGGGAGCTGGAATCACACCGCCAACCTGTGAGTCAGTGGATTTGATCGCTCAACCAATGATGTTTACGTTGATTCAAACCGCCAGCCTTCAGATCAGTGGACAAACTCTCTACCAGCTCAAAGCTTGCTTAAAAAAGCCGTTTTATCAGTGAGTTTATCAGTATGTGAGCAGCAAACTCAGATAGAAGATAGAAGACTGTTTTTAGTGGCAGGATAACTAATGCAAATACAAGGACTGGATGGAATATTTTAAAAAAGTGTCTCCACACGTCTACAACACTCTGGATCACTAGGAAATGAGGTCCTATGTCCAAAATTCCGAACTGTCCCTTTAAGTCTTCAATATTATGCATTTTCAACACTTTAAGTTGAACAAAAAATGGGTTGGATGGCTCTGTAATGACTGTTTGTGATCATTTTCAAGGCCCTTTAAAGGCTTATTTTCTGAGTTTAAATTGTTTACATGTTTTAAAAATAAAAATCTTACATCACATTAACAGTATAAACAGAATTGTAACTTATGTTATTAGGTTCTTTTTTCAGACCTAGAGTTTTGTTTCATACCTGACAGTTTCGACTGCTCGCTAGCGCTCTTCCTCAGAGTGGTTGTTGCTGTGACGTGTCCGTTCAGCTGATTTAAACAGGTTTTGGCGCTGTGTTTCTATCGGTGGAGGCAGGACGACAGCGCCACCTGCAGTCCGACTTCCTCAGGACAGTTTCCCAGGTGTGTGAGAGTAAAAGTGGGATACTGTCCTGAGGAAGTGGGACTGCAGATGGCGCTGTCGTCCTGCCTCCACCGGTAGGAAGACGGCGCCAAAACCTGTTTAAATCAGCCGACCAGCAGTGTTGGGAAGGTGACTTTTAAAATGTAATCCCCTACAGATTACAGATTACATATCCCAAAATGTAGTTTGTAACATAATCCATTAAATTACTTAAAGTGGGTAATGTAATCTGAATACTTTGGATTACTTGATTTACTGTAGAGAAGCAAAGACGAGGAAATCTTCACATAAGATGTTTTGTCTGATAAAAGAAAATAAAAAGTCCAGACTTTACTGAACCGTATTAAAAATATTATTGATAGAAGACGAGACACGTCCACACAGCATGAATTAGTCCTGTTAAATCCTGTTTTAGTCCTGGTTTAGACCTGGTTTAGTGCTGGTTTAGTCCTGGTTTAGACCTGGTTTAGTCCTGGTTTAGTCCTGGTTTAGTCCTGGTTTAGTCCTGGTTTAGTCCTGGTTTAGACCTGGTTTAGACCTGGTTTAGTCCTGGTTTAGACCTGGTTTAGTGCTGGTTTAGTCCTGGTTTAGTCCTGGTTTAGACCTGGTTTAGACCTGGTTTAGTCCTGGTTTAGACCTGGTTTAGACCTGGTTTAGTCCTGGTTTAGACCTGGTTTAGACCTGGTTTAGTCCTGGTTTAGACCTGGTTTAGTCCTGGTTTAGTCCTACCTGGTTTAGTCCTGGTTTAGTCCTGGTTTAGTCCTGGTTTAGACCTGGTTTAGGCCTGGTTTAGTCCTGGTTTAGACCTGGTTTAGTGCTGGTTTAGTCCTGGTTTAGTCCTGGTTTAGACCTGGTTTAGACCTGGTTTAGTCCTGGTTTAGACCTGGTTTAGGCCTGGTTTAGACCTGGTTTAGACCTGGTTTAGTCCTGGTTTAGACCTGGTTTAGTGCTGGTTTAGTCCTGGTTTTAGTCCTGGTTTAGACCTGGTTTAGACCTGGTTTAGTCCTGGTTTAGTCCTGGTTTAGACCTGGTTTAGTCCTGGTTTAGTCCTGGTTTAGACCTAGTTTAGACCTGGTTTTGACCTGATTTAGTCCTGGTTTAGTCCTGGTTTAGTCCTGGTTTAGACCTGGTTTAGTCCTGGTTTAGTCCTGGTTTAGTCCTGGTTTTGACCTGGTTTAGTCCTGGTTTAGACCTGGTTTAGTCCTGGTTTAGTCCTGGTTTAGACCTGGTATAGTCCTGGTTTAGCCCAAAATGTGAAAACAGGAAAATCCCGCCATGTAATCCATTTATTTCAAAAAAGTAACTGTAATCCAATCACCACTCACTGAAACAGTAACTGTAAATGAATACAGTTACTCATAATTTGTACTCTGATTACTTAACTCCGGTACATGTAATCTGTTACTCCCCGACACTGCCGACCAGACACGTCACAGCAACATCACGTGACTCTGAGGAAGACGCTAGTGAGCAGTCGAAACTTTCAGGTACGAAAACAAACTCCAGGTCTGAAAAAAGAACCTAATAACATAAAATATCAGAAGAGGAAATGAATCTCTTGGGACTAGAAATGTAACTTAAACCACACTCTTTTGTCCCGTCCGTGTGCCCGCCCAGGCCCCCTCTGCAGCGTCCTGGTGAACCGCTTCGGCTGCCGGCCCGTCATGATGGTGGGCGGCCTCTTCGCCTCGCTGGGCATGGTCCTGGCATCGTTCGCCACCAGCATCATCCACATCTACCTGTGCACCGGGGTCATCACAGGTCTGCCCGCTCGCCGCGCCAGCCTCATCAATAAACCAGCACCGGGGATACAGTGACACCGCTCACCCCCCACACACACACACACACTGGCACACACACACTGGCACACACACACTGGCACACACACACACTGGCACACACACACACACTGGCACACACACACACACACACACACTGGCACACACACACACACTGGCACACACACACACACACACTGGCACACACACACACTGGCACACACACACACTGGCACACACACACACACACACACACTGGCACACACACACTGGCACACACACACACTGGCACACACACACTGGACACACACACACACTGCACACACACACACTGGCACACACACACACTGGCACACACACACTGGCACACACACACTGGCACACACACACTGGCACACACACTGGACACACACACACACACTGGCACACACACACACTGGCACACACACACTGGCACACACACACACTGGCACACACACACTGGCACACACACACACTGGCACACTGCACACACACACTGGCACACACACACTGGCACACACACACACTGGCACACACACACTGGCACACACACACTGGCACACACACACACTGGCACACACACACTGGCACACACACACACTGGCACACACACACACTGGCACACACACACACTGGCACACACACACTGGCACACACACTGGCACACACACACACTGGCACACACACACTGGCACACACACACACTGGCACACACACACACTGGCACACACACTGGCACACACACTGGCACACACACACACTGGCACACACACACACTGGCACACACACACACACTGGCACACACACACACACTGGCACACACACACTGGCACACACACACACACACACTGGCACACACACACACTGGCACACACACACTGGCACACACACACACATACTCACACACACTGGCACACACACACACTGGCACACACACACTGGCACACACACTGGCACACACACACTGGCACACACACACACTGGCACACACACACACACACTGGCACACACACACTGGCACACACACACTGGCACACACACACACTGGCACACACACACTGGCACACACACACTGGCACACACACACTGGCACACACACACTGGCACACACACACACTGGCACACACACACTGGCACACACACTGGCACACACACACACTGGCACACAGTCACACACTGGCACACACTGGCACACACACACTGGCACACACACACACTGGCACACACACACTGGCACACACACACTGGCACACACACACACACTGGCACACACACACTGGCACACACACACACTGGCACACACACACACACACTCACACACACACTGGCACACACACACTGGCACACACACACTGGCACACACACACACACACACTGGCACACACACTGGCACACACACACACTGGCACACACACACACACTGGCACACACACACTGGCACACACACACACACTGGCACACACACACACTGGCACACAGTCACACACTGGACACACACACACACACACTGGCACACACACACACTGCACACACACACACACTGGCACACACACACACTGGCACACACACACACTGGACACACACACACACACACTGGCACACACACACACTGGCACACACACACTGGCACACACACACACTGGCACACACACACTGGACACACACACACACACTGGCACACACACACACTGGCACACACACACACTGGCACACACACACACTGGCACACACACACTGGCACACACACACACTGGCACACACACACACTGGCACACGCACACTGGCACACACACACACTGGCACACACACACACTGGCATATACTGGTGGAGGAGGAAGGGAAACAATGCACCAGGGGATATGAGTTTATTTTAGACGGGGAGATCGCTTTTGGTGGAAATTTGAGCGGTCGCAGTTAGAGCTCGTCGTTGTTTAGCTTTAGTGTCACGGCAAAAACTCCGCTTTGGTTCCTCAGAGCTGTGAAAAGAGAGAGACCGGGGAAAGGTGTAGAGTGATATTTTATATTTATGATAAACCAGGACTAAAAACAGGACTAAACCAGGGCTAAACCAGGACTAAAACCAGGACTAAACAAGGACTAAACTAGAACTAAAACAGGACTAAAACCAGGACTAAACAAGGACTAAACAAGGACTAAACAGGACTAAAACAGGACTAAACAAGGGCTAAACTAGGACTAAAACCAGGACTAAACTAGAACTAAAACCAGGAATAAACTAGAACTAAAACAAGACTAAAACCAGGACTAAAACCAGGACTAAACTAGAACTAAAACCAGGAATAAACTAGAACTAAAACAAGACTAAAACCAGGACTAAACAAGAACTAAACTAGAACTAAAACCAGGACTACACAGGACTAAAATCTGGATTAAACCAGGACTAAACAAGGACTAACAACCAGGACTAAACAAGAACTAAAACCAGGACTAAAACCAGGATTAAAACCAGGACTAAAACCAGGACTAAACTAGAACTAAAACCAGGACTAAAACCAGGACTAAACCAGGACTAAAACCAGGACTATACAAGGACTAAACAAGGGCTAAACTAGGACTAAACTAGAACTAAAAAACAGGACTAAACTAGAACTAAACCAGGACTAAACTAGAACTAAAACCAGGACTAAAACCAGGACTAAAACCAGGATTAAAACCAGGACTAAAACCAGGACTAAACAAGGACTAAACTAGAACTAAAACCAGGACTAAACCAGGTCTAAACAAGGACTAAACTAGAACTAAAACCAGGACTAAAACAGGACTAAATTAGAATTAACACCAGGACTAAAACCAGGACTAAACCAGGACTAAAACCAGGACTAAACAAGAACTAAAACAGGACTAAAATAGGACTAAACTAGAACTAGCGAGCTGTTTTTTTCAGCGCTTAAAGTTTATGCAAATGAGCCATGCGGTTTTAAATTTCCTTTCTGTAAAACGGAAACAAATGTGTCTGATTCAGTCCTAGTTCAGTTCTGGTTTAATCCTGGTTTAGTCCGCAGCGCAAAATCGATGACAGATTTTTGACAGTAGTAGTCGCAGGTACCCGACCCGGTGCAGGACTCTCATATGATGTAAGTTTCTGTGATGTTTGCAAATGTTCATGTGTACAGAAACTTGATGTAAAAAAAATTGTGGATGAAATCGAAATTGCAATATCTGCCAGAAAAATCGCAGTTCAGTTTGTTCTTAAAATCGTTCTGCCCTAATCTCGGTCAAAGCAGGGACTGGAAATCTTTTAAACTCTTTACACTTTTATTCTTATCGTATGCTGTTATTTTAGGATACTGTAAACTGCCTTCAATTACATTTGTATAGATTTGTACGATAATTTTAATAGTTTAAAGCAGAAAGAGTTTTTTTTTTAAACAATGTCACTTGTTTAATTGCACAATAATCCTGCTTTGCAAGTAAGAAAATCTGTTTCATAATAATCCTCGATTTTATGATTTTGCAATGTTTTCAAATCTCGATTATACAAAACACAACTCAGTAGAAACTTGCTGATCCTGTAGTTCTGACCTCTACAAACATGGGGTAGTTAGTTTCAGATGTCAACCTTCTTTCACATGTTTATTCTCCAGGACTTGTTAAAAGGTCCACAATAAACAATTAAACTATTTGCAAATTTAATGCAGAGTAATTGTTTAGAATAGAGCTTTTTTGTTGAGTTTTAGTCAAAATTAGGTGGATTTTATTATTATTTATTATTATTATTATTTTTGTTCTTGTTAGATGAGGGGAGTTTCTTGCTCAAGGGTTTGTGAGTTTCACCATAATTAGTCTGTAGAAGAGTCCCGAAAGAACAGCAAATATGTATAAAAAGAAAAACATCTGAGCTCATGTTTTCATATTAAATCTGTGTCTCTATGAAAAATCAAAGAGAGGGACGAGTAAGTGCAGAGTGTAATGAATGTCAGAAGAGTGAACAGTGAAACAGGATTATTCTGAGGAAGACTGGTGCAGATCATGAGACAAGTGTGAGCACTGGGGCTCTGGTAGCATTTAGTCGAGTACAGGACTAACAAAAGGCTGAGATAGTTTAAGTGATTATCAGCTCTGACACTCAAAGAGCTGTGCAGGAGCCAGTGACAGGGCAGCACCTGTCCCAGAGAGAGAGAGAGAGAGAGAGAGGAGATACCTCACTGGTGAAGACCACTGTGTGATAATGTATAATCTGTATACGCTTGGAGCAAACTGTTTCTAATCACATTTTATTTTCATAAACGCAACATGAGCAGAGAAAACTATATTAAAATCAGTTCTGCAAACAGCACAAGAAGAGCCACATCTGGACATTATGACGTGTGGGAATTGCTCCAGCAGTTTTCTGCCTCATGGAGCATGCAAATGCATTTAAATAGAGCTCAGAGAAGATGATTTATTCATTCAGTAGATTTACAAATCCACACGTTACAATCTGAGCTGTTTTCTCTGTTGTTCAGTAGCATTGGAGCACTCTGATGCACACACACATTAGCTCGTGCTCCACTGCCTCTTACCCTTTACATGACGTCACACATGAAGCCTGTGATCTGCTCCATTTATATTTATGTCCGTGACTTAAAGGACAAAGGCGCAGCTGCAGCCTGGTCAAACAGAACACACAGTTTGTCTTCATCTGCATCATATTATTATCATAATAATATTATGTCTTTTTCAGTAATGTGACATGTTACTTTTGTAAATGTGATGTTGACTCCTTGCGCCCTCTGCAGGTCTGGGTCTGGCCCTGAACTTCCAGCCGTCTCTGATCATGCTGAATCGTTACTTTAGTGAGAAGCGTCCCCTGGCTAACGGCCTGTCTGCGGCGGGCAGCCCTGTGGCCCTGTGCTGCCTCTCTCCTCTGGGGCAGGTGCTGCAGTACAAGTACGGCTGGAGGGGGGGCTTCCTCATCCTCGGGGGGCTCCTGCTAAACTGCTGTGTGTGTGCGGCCGTCATGAGGCCCCTGGTGGCCCCCAAGAGCCAGCAGAGGGACACGGAGGTCCCTGGAGAAGGGGACGGGGCCGACAAGAAGAAGAAGCCCAAAGCCAAGCTGCTGGACTTCTCCGTGTTCAAAGACTGTGGCTTTCTCATCTACACCGTGGCTGCCTCCATCATGGTGCTGGGGCTGTTCGTGCCTCCGGTCTTTGTGGTGAGCTACGCTAAAGAGCTGGGCTACGAGGACACCAAGTCCGCCCTGCTGCTCACCATCCTGGGCTTCATCGACATCTTTGCGCGGCCCACCTGCGGAGTGATCGCCGGGCTCAAGTGGGTGCGGCCGCGCTGTGTCTACCTCTTCAGCTTCGCCATGCTCTTCAACGGGGTCACTGACCTCATTGGCTCACAGGTGAGACACAGGGCCATGTTAATGTGTTTAACCCCTATTACCCTGAGACCTGCTGCCGGTCTGTCATGCTCTGAGTGAACCCGGGGATTTAACAGTGAACGACACAGTTAAATGTGAAAGCTCAAAAATGTGATCTGCAAACTATTCTGTATGGGCCATGGCTAAACTAATGTATATTTTATAAGCAGTATCATTATGTCAGTGCTACAGCTCAGTAGGACAAAGAGAGTTTGTTTAAAGTGCTTTTCAAAGGCCCTAGGACGCTGCAGTAAAGTGAGTCAGGTTCACACAGTCGAGCCGAGTGTCTGGGACAGAGCGCCACAGGAGACACAGCTCTGACTGACATTCAGCTCATCAGCTGCTCTGGAGTTTAGGCCAGTTCATTATCAGTCAGTTTAACTAGAGACATGGATTGAACTGTCACAGGAGTCCAGATCTGGGCATTTTCCAGCTTCGGGGCTACATACAGCCTTTTGGTTGACTCTGATCGGCCCGTTTAAGATAATTTGGAATTATAAAACAAATATATTTTATAATTTTACCTCCTGCATGGACTAAAGCTGCGTTTTTTTTAAATTTAGGTGTTTTTAAATGACATTTTTCATAAGACAACCTCACTTTTTCATTGCTTATTCATAACATAAACACTTGTCAAAACAATTTACTGCTTTTTATAAAGAAATACTATTAATATTATTTAGAATAGAGCTAAACATTTTGGCCCGGCCCTCCACAATATTTTCTGTTTCGTTTTCTGTGGTCCCATGGAAAATATAATTGCCCACCCCTGCAGTAGCCCAATAAAGACAATTTAACTATGCATTTTAAAATATCACCCATGTATGTAATTCATTATCAAATTAAATAACATGTAACAATAATAAATAAGAGTACCATTATTAAACACACATGGTTGCGAGGGCTGTAGGATGTGTTGGTGTTAAACTGATCCGACACAGCTGTAACCGGAGCCAGGCCCAGTCTCAGTCCTTTATCAGAGCAGAGCGCCCCGGCAGACTCCCGCCTGCGTCGTCCCCCGTGACCGAGGGCAGCTCAGGACACCTGCACCTGCCCAATAATGCTCCTGTCACCAAGTCACAACACAACAACACGGCACCCAAGGGTCCTGCGCACGCACAAGGAAAAACTGAGAACCACTCTTACAGAACCGCAAGCTACAGTAACACAAGTCTGGCCTATAGTGCAATGTACGTGGTAGAAATAAGGACTAGAATGTTCCGCAGTATGGCATTAAACTTATATATTTTGCATTTATCAATTTATGAGTGTTTTAAAGCCTAAAAAAATCCTGAAAAAACATGCATTCTTACTGTGAGCGAGATCACCTCTCCACAGATCTGACTTGTAACTTGACCTGCTTGTCTCCATGGAGATAGATAAATTTAATACCATATTGAGGAACATTACCGGTAGACAGGGACATGCACATCTAACAAAAATTGCGACTGCATGCTGGGTCCAAACACAAAAATAGTACAAAAAAAAGGAAAGAGACAGAGCAGCCAGTCACTCCGTTGCCGTGGGAATCAAACGGTATCAAACAGGTGATATTAAAGGTACAGTGTGTAGCATTTCTGGTGGGGGGTTTGATATCTGCTTGGAGAAGTTATGGAAATGTTCCTCAGTATAAAAAAAAAAGAAGAGATCCACACTGCAGTTCTAAACAGAACTAAACCAGGACTAAACCAGGTCTAAACCAAATCTAAACCAGGTCTAAACCAGGACTAAACCAGGTCTAAACTAGGACTATACCAGGTCTAAACCAGGTCTAAACCAGGACTAAACCAGGTCTAAACCAGGTCTAAACTAGGACTATACCAGGTCTAAACCAGGTCTAAACCAGGTCTAAACTAGGACTATACCAGGTCTAAACCAGGTCTAAACCAGGACTAAACCAGGTCTAAACCAGGTCTAAACTAAATCTAAACCAGGACTAAACCCGGTCTAAACCAGGACTTAACCAGGACTAAAACAGGATTTAACAGGACTAAATCCTGCTGTGTGGACATGTCTCCTCGTCTTCTATCAATAATATTTTTAATTTGGTTGAGTAAAGTCTGGGCTTTTTTATTTTCTTTTAGCAGATAAAACATCTTATGTGAAGATTTCCTCGTCTTTGCTTCTCTACAGCAAATCAAGTAATCCAAAGTATTCAGATTACATTACTCACTTTAAGTAATTTAATGGATTACGTTACAAACTACATTTTGGGGTATGTAATCTGTAATCTGTAGGGGATTACATTTTAAAAGTCACCTTCCCAACACTGTCCATAGAAATTGTCCTTTGCAAATAATGACCCCAGTCCACAAAACTGAGTTGTAAATCCAATTTGAGATTTACTTTAAAAGTAAAAAGTGAGGGTATTTAGTCCATTTCTTTATACAGTGTGTTGTTTTGTCTGTACAGTCCCCTTTTCAATATTTCGTATCAGTTGAGTAAATAAGTAAAAGTCCTTATTCATGATTAGACGCATCAGGTTGCAAAAAAAGGAAAAATATAGACTCCAAACCAGTCAGAAACACCTCCAAAGTCCAAAAATCTCAGTCTACTCATAAAAAAGTGTTGACCTTTGTGTGTTGTTGTTTTTGTGTGCAGGCGTCGGACTACACGACCCTGGTGTTCTTCTGTATCTTCTTCGGGATCTCGTACGGGATGGTGGGCGCGCTGCAGTTCGAGGTGCTCATGGCCATCGTGGGCACAGAGAAGTTCTCCAGCGCCATCGGCCTGGTGCTGCTCATGGAGGCCATCGCCGTGCTGATCGGGCCCCCTGGTGCAGGTCAGTGGGACGACACGCTGCTTATCTGTTTGGGTACATCCACACTAGGAGATCATCAGTTTATATTTTGTTAATTGTAAACTGGAATATTTATCTAAAATGGGTTATTGCAGAACTGTTAAACCAAGGATTTCTGACCTATTATTAAAGGATGAGTTTACCTTTTTTGAATAATCACAAGTTAATTGGAAAAGTGGGTGGAGATAAGGGGCAGGTGAAATCTGAAATGTTCCGTGCACTCAAGCTTCAAATATTGGACAATTAGGGCTTTGCAAAAATACTGAAATATCGATATATCCTATAGTTTAATTTGATGATATAGTGTCGATATTATGGGCTGCTGTACTGATATATCGCCAAGAGTATTTTTAGGTATATTTTATTAAATTATTTTGTGTAAGAGCTACAATTGTGTTGACATTTTTACTGTTTTGAGTAAATTGGGCGTTTTATATGTTAACTTTGCACAAACTTTGTGGATTAACAAAGATTTTTAGTATCACAGCCATGATTTAGCCTTTATTTTTTAATCAACCGAATCAAATCGATTTGAAATATACTGAATCATACTGAACTGAAAGTGCACTGTATCGAAAAAGGTATTGTATCGAGGCCTTTGTCCTGAGGTATGTATCGTATTGGCAAATTTTTTATGATACCCAACCCTAAGGACAATACAAGATTACTCAAACATTCATGAATCATAAATCCAAATGCAATTGTAATATCAGAATGATGCGGGAACGTGCTGTCAATTTTACACAAGTCCGTCTTAAGCATTTAAAATGTTTATCTAAACCAGTTTCATCTCTCTGAAAATGAAAATATTCACTAGAGTCCCCCCAAAGATGCACCAGTAGCCTACAGTTTGCGACTGAATTGATCTAAATAGACTGAAAATAGACTGTAATTTATCTAAATAAACTGAAAATAGACTGTAATTTATCTAAATAGACTGAAGTCTATTTAGATAAATGACACTTTAGATCAGAGGTAGAGTAGCCACAAACCTCAAGACTCAGCGAGAGAACTCAGTGCTGTTACGTTAAAATATTATTACTAAGTAGAAGTACAATGTGGTGATCCAAGAAATTGCTTAATTAGGAGTGAAAATGTATTTAGGGATTAATTTGAAGATAATCTAATAGACCTTTTTCACAACGGCCAGAAGTGCCCGCTGTAGGTTTGCAGAACTTCCTGTTAATAGTTTTCTGTAGCAAAATATCTGTGCAAATGTGTGTCGTATTATCCAGCAGCTTCATAAATCTGCCCCATCGCCAAATCTTCAACCAACAAGGTCCACAAAGGATAAACATTCTAACATGAATAATTTATCCATAACAATCAAGGTAAGAAAGACGAAAACTTAAAAGTGAACGACGACGATGCATTAGTGAAACTACTTCCGGTATGGTTATGAATAACGTAAGTAATAAATAATTCATTAAGAAGTAACTTGTTCACTTAGGCTGATTCTAGAATTAAAATCGATTTCATAATGTAGAAAGTAGGGGGTCAGCCCTATGTTCCCTTATTTGTAAGATATTTCTCAAAATGAAACTCTTAAGTCAAGTCATTTTTATTTTATACCCCATTTAAAAGGATGATTCAGAGTCATTTCAACCTAGGATCCTTTACACCGTGACGTTTACATTACATCTGTAGTCTTCTGCTGCTGGAGAATAACAAGGTTGGAGGTAATTGACGACCAAATTGGGAGAAATACGGTTAAAATCTGATGCAAATTGATGATAAAGGAAATGTGGGAATAAAGGGAACAATGTGGGAAGAAAAAAAACAAACAACATAGAAATGAGGGAACATAGACACACTCCCAAAATCAACATGAATAGATTTGTGCAGTTTGATTGTTAGACATGTAATCTGTGATCATCTCCAGCATTCGACCTGCACAAATCTTATCAATCTACGCTAATATCGACATTGTGAAATTGATTTTTAAGACTGAATTAACAAGTCACTTATTAATGAAATACTTATTACTTACTGTACTTTATTCATTACCATACCAGAAGTAGTTCACTAATGCGTCGTCACTGTTTGCCTTTAAGCTTTCGTCTTTCTTACCTTGAGGAAGAATGTTTATCCTTTGTGGACCTTGTTGGTTGAAGATTTGGCGATGGGGCAGATTTATCAATTAATTGATAATTGATCATTAAGAATTTCATTGATTTCGTTCATTTTAATCGACAAACCAAATGTAGGTTGCTGTGTGTAGAGTGACCAAACAGGGGTCTGTACATGTGTCTCTGCACTCAGAAGAAGTGAGCAAACACAAACATTCGGTCAGTCTGCAACGTACCGAAGCACAAATGTGTATTTAGCGATAATTTGTACAAGAAATTCTAATTCACACTTTCCGTTGCGATCTGGACAAGTGTGAGTCCATGTGCACAGTGTACAAAGCAGGAACATGCGTTTCGGTGTCCAGTGGGAAAAAGCTTTACCAGGTGAGAGTTGCTCAATGTCGATGTCGAGTCCCCACCTCCCTCCCCCCGTACGGTGTCCTGGTTTTGACAAACACAAATCTGGTCACACTAACCTGTATTCCACTGAGTCATGTCTTTTAATCCGACAGAAATTGAACCACATCAGCGACACAAGAGCTGTAGTTTTATCTTCACTTAGTTTATGCAAATTAGTGATGCGGTTTTAAGTTTTGTTTCTGTGAGAGTTGCGCAAAACTGAATTAAACACATTATAATGTCAAACGGGCTGATGTGGCTCTAGAGTCGTTACGGTTTATATGTCGTAAAGTTGAATTTATTTATGCAGATTAGTAGTGCAGATAGTAATAATAATGATGATCATTTTAATATAAAAACGTTAATGATTAATCGATAATCGATCGTTAATTCTTCCGACGATCGATTAAGAAAATTTCATCGAATGCCCATCCCTAGTCTGAGTTAAAATGTTACTTATTGATATAATTACTTATTACCAGTAGTAGTTCACTAATTCTGTTGTTCACCTTTAAGCTTTCATCTTTCTTACCTCGAGGAAGAATGTTTATCCTTTTGTGGACCTCGTTGGTTGAAAATTCGGTGATGGAGCAGATTTATGAAGCTGCTGGAGAATACGACACACATTTACACACACATTTTGCCACAGAAAACTATTAACCAGAAGTTCCACAAACCTACTGCGCAGCACTTGAGAAAAAGATCTATTGGACAAAACATTAAAAAGACTCAAAATCGGTAACACTTTATAATAACTACACCTTATTTAGCCTTAATAAAGCATGAACAAAGGCTTAATTAATAATGAACAAAGACTTAATTAATAATGATTCACGCTTAGTAACTACTTAATTACTACCTTAATTAGCACTTGCACTTAATTTGCCTGTGCTGTAAAGAGTTACTCATAATTATTTCATACTTAATTACTCATGAACTAACCATTTGAGCATTTATTAATCATTAGTAAACTATGAGAGAATGATTTACTAATAATGCAATGCAATGATAATTCAGGCAGCTGTTATCTGTTAGTTAAGTCTTTTTGAGAGCTTTTCTAAAGTGAAGACTAATTATGCTTCATTAAACATTTACTAAGCGTGAATCGTTATTAATAAAATCTTTGTTCATTATTAATTAAATCTTTGTTCATGCTTTATTAAGGCTAAGTAAGGTGTAGTTATTATAAAGTGTTACCACAAAATCTGATATTTTCAAAGGAATCATTTCATATTGTCACTTGAAGCTTTTATCACTTTTAGACTCTAATAGATTCAGAAGTATGGTGCGAGGGAAACGACTCTGAGAAGAGCAATTCTATTAAAGCGGCTACAAATGCTACAGTATAAATTGCTTTGCGTGCGTTCTCTGTCCCGGTGTGACCTATAACTGCAGTCTGGACACAATGGGCAGTAGTGTCTTTAACTCAGCCCTGCTCAGTAAACACTTTACATTGATCCGGGCATGTAAATGAGCTCGTGCTGACAGCTCCGGCTCTAAAGCTCCACCATCGCGATCAAAACTGGACTCTACCGCTGTACTCTGTGTGTGTAGCCGTCCATTTACACTGGGGAAAATCCATGCAGGTCAACCACATTCAGCAAACTCAAACTCGCTGGACACGCTGACTACTGATGCTGCTGGAAACTATAGGCACAGCTTTACATAATCTGCAAAATACATTAAAAAGTGATTAGTTTGAGGTTTACTCTTATAGACGTGGACGTTTATTTACTATACCAGTTTAAAGTTTGGACCCAGCATCTCATTTAGTTTAGTTTTTTCTCTATTTCAACATTTTATATGCACACAGAAGACATCAACACCAACTTTTATTGATCCTCAAGGGAAATTATTTGGACCCAGCAGCTCACACGTCACAATAAATATAATAAATATAAACAAATTCTAAATAAGTAGCAAAAGGAGCAAGAGACACGTGTCAAATAAGACAAAAATATATAAATGTAAATGTACAAGTTAAAATAAAATAGAAAAATAAGTAATACAATGTAAAATCTCAGTTTTTTACAAGAGGTCAGGGTTATCTGTTACATAAGGGTGAGTTGTTGTACAGTTGTAGGGAGTATTATCTGTTACATAAGGCTGAGTTGTTTGTACAGTTGTAGGGAGTATTATCTGTTACATAAGGCTGAGTTGTTGTACAGTTGTAGGGAGTATTATCTGTTACATAAGGGTGAGTTGTTTGTACAGTTGTAGGGAGTATTATCTGTTACATAAGGCTGAGTTGTTGTACAGTTGTAGGGAGTATTATCTGTTACATAAGGGTGAGTTGTTTGTACAGTTGTAGGGAGTATTATCTGTTACATAAGGGCAAGTTGTAGTACAGTTGTAGGGAGTATTATCTGTTACATAAGGGCAAGTTGTAGTACAGTTGTAAGGAGTATTATCTGTTACATAAGGACGAGTTGTTGTACAGTTGTAGGGAGTATTATCTGTTACATAAGGGCGAGTTGTTGCACAGTTGTAGGGAGTATTATCTGTTACATAAGGGTGAGTTGTTGTACAGTTGTAGGGAGTATTATCTGTTACATAAGGGCGAGTTGTTGCACAGTTGTAGGGAGTATTATCTGTTACATAAGGGCAAGTTGTAGTACAGCTGTAGGGAGTATTATCCGTTACATAAGGCTGAGTTGTTGTACAGTTGTAGGGATTATTATCTGTTACATAAGGGCGAGTTGTTGCACAGTTGTAGGGAGTATTATCCGTTACATAAGGGTGAGTTGTTATACAGTTGTAGTAAAGATAAAAAGGTAAATAACTAAATATTTTCCCACAAATCAAAGGGTTGCTACTTTGAGAATTCGAACATAAAATATACTGTATAATAAATATTTTCAGTTTTTTCTTCAGTACAATTCTATAAATCTTGCGTCATATATTTAGTGTCTTCTGTATGAATATAAAATGTAGAAACTAGTAAAAATAAAGGAAAAACAACACAGCATGAGACTGGGAACGCATTAATTTACTATGATCGTGTTTACTCTGTTTACTCTGACTTCACAGCTTCACACGATGAGACTTGTTCCGATTGTGTGATTAATAATTGTGCTAATTATTCTTTTTGAAATGTTCTTTACTCCTCCACAGTTTAATCAAGCACAGTATGGAGTATTGGCCCATTCTATAAATTCAATGTTCATCTGCAGTAAAATTTTGGAAGAGGATTGCGGTTAAGATTAGCAATAGGGTTACTTTTTGTTGTTGTTGTTGTTGTTTTTACAATTACTTAGCAGTTAGTTCATTTAAGTAAATTTAACAATGAAGACATTATGCTAAATCTTTTAAGAGCTTTGAATAATGGTTTTCTCATTATTACCCAGAATATTTGAGGGAGATTAAGGCTTGTGGGCTCAGAAAATTCCAGTTTTTTCACCCACCCCCTGTCCCCGCTCACAGCTCTGTTCATAACAACCAAACAGAAATGTTGCATAGCTAATTAAAAAAAAAAACACACAAAAAAAATACTGCTGCTTGCTACAGTGAAAAGGATGTGAATGTGATACTTTATTTTATTTTATTTTTTTTAAAGCATTTGAGAGTTTTTTTGCGTTGTCTCGTTTTTATTTAATTTGTTGGATAACACATGTTGTATATAAATGATAGTTTAACACCAATCAGCAAGAAATTAGCGGGGAAAAAAAGATGAAAAATGTGTTAAAAATAACAGGAAGTGCAGAATTCTAAAAACTATTGATGATCTGGTTAGAGAGAATTTTATCCAGAAGTTAAGCACAATTTACACAAAACAAACACATTGCCACTATACACTATATTATATACAGTGTTGGGAAGGTGACTTTTAAAATGTATTCCCCTACAGATTACAGATTACATACCCCAAAATGTAGTTTGTAACATAATCCATTAAATTACTTAAAGTGAGTAACGTAATCTGAATACTTTGGATTACTTGATATCGTCATGTTTTTTTAAAACTACATGAATGTAACAACCACATCCTGAAAATTCATGTTTGTTCTCTTCAAATTGGCCCTGGTTTAGTCTTGGTTTAGACCTTGTTCAGTCCTGGTTTAGACCTGGTTTTAGTCCTGGTTTAGTCCTGGTTTAGTTCTGATTCAGTTATGGTTTAGTCCTGGTTTAGACCTGGTTTTAGACCTGGTTTAGACCTGGTTTAGTCCTGGTTTAGACCTGTTTTAGCCCAAAATGTGAAAACAGGAAAATACCGCCCTGTAATCCATTTATTTCAACAAAGTAACTGTAATCCAATTACCACTCACTGAAACAGTAACTGTAACTGAATACAGTTACTCATAATTTGTACTCTGATTACATAACTCGGTACATGTAATCTGTTACTCCCCAACACTGACTATATATAGGTTGTTTTCTTCTATTGTCGTTGTTATAAGCACAATCCAATGCAATCTGAATAAACATGACAATAATAAATTATTTAAAAAGGTTAGTAAATAAATACCACCACCAGTATTATAAACATAGATTTGTGCAACGACTGCAGACTGAACATTGAACTAAACATTGTAAACACAGAACAAGCATATACCCTTGTATGTAAGGATGGATAGTTTCGCGAAGATTCACAAGCCTGATTTTTTGGTGGTGCGTAATGTCCATGTGTGAAGTACGACACTGAATAAATAAATACTATCATTAGATTATGATGGCCCCAGTGATCCATGTTTTAATATAGGACAAATAATGGAGTAAAATGTCACTTATTGCCCTTACTGATAAAGCACAGATTATAAATGTAATATAATTTCTTCCGTATTATGACAATACTGGAAACAGCATTTGTATCACCAATTGATGTAACTATGGGGGTCCACCATAGTCTCCACAGTAAATGGGAAATACTGTATCTTATTTAGGCTTAGACAAACTTTCCTGACTTACAAGGGAAATGATTTGTACACAAAAGCTCACACATCACAGTATAATATAATAACAAAGAGAAAATATATAAACGGTAATAATAAATACTAAATACGTAGACAGAGTCAAATAAGACAAAGTTCAATAAATTATATAAAATATACAAGTGAGGGTGAGTTGTTGTACAGTTGTAGGGAGTATTATCTGTTCCATAAGGGTGAGTTGTTGTATAGTTGTAGGGAGTATTATCTGTTACATAAGGGTGAGTTGTTGTACAGTTGTAGGGAGTATTATCTGTTCCATAAGGGTGAGTTGTTGTACAGTTGTAGGGAGTATTATATTACATAAGGGTGAGTTGTTGTATAGTTGTAGGGAGTATTATCTGTTCCATAAGGGTGAGTTGTTGTACAGTTGTAGGGAGTATTATCTGTTACATAAGGGTGAGTTGTTGTACAGTTGTAGGGAGTATTATCTGTTACATAAGGGCGAGTTGTTATACAGTTGTAGGGAGTATTATATTACATAAGATTGAGTTGATGTAAAGTTGTAGGGAGTATTATCTGTTACATAAGGGTGAGTTGTTGTACAGTTGTAGGGAGTATTATCTGTTATATAAGGGTGAGTTGTGGTACAGTTGTAGGGAGTATTATCTGTTACATAAGGGTGAGTTGTTGTACAGTTGTAGGGAGTATTATCTGTTACATAAGATTGAGTTGATGTAAAGTTGTAGGGAGTATTATCTGTTACATAAGGGTGAGTTGTTGTACAGTTGTAGGGAGTATTATCTGTTACATAAGGGTGAGTTGTTGTACAGTTGTAGGGAGTATTATCTGTTCCATAAGGGTGAGTTGTTGTACAGTTGTAGGGAGTATTATATTACATAAAGGTGAGTTGTTGTATAGTTGTAGGGAGTATTATCTGTTCCATAAGGGTGAGTTGTTGCACAGTTGTAGGGAGTATTATCTGTTACATAAGGGTGAGTTGTTGTACAGTTGTAGGGAGTATTATCTGTCACATAAGGGCGAGTTGTTATACAGTTGTAGGGAGTATTTATATTACATAAGGTGAGTTGTTGTAAAGTTGTAGGGAGTATTATCTGTTACATAAGGGTGAGTTGTTGTACAGTTGTAGGGAGTATTATCTGTTATATAAGGGTGAGTTGTTGTACAGTTGTAGGGAGTATTATCTGTTACATAAGGGTGAGTTGTTGTACAGTTGTAGGGAGTATTATATTACATAAGATTGAGTTGATGTAAAGTTGTAGGGAGTATTATCTGTTACATAAGGGTGAGTTGTTGTACAGTTGTAGGGAGTATTATCTGTTATATAAGGGTGAGTTGTGTACAGTTGTAGGGAGTATTATCTGTACATAAGGGCGAGTTGTTATACAGTTGTAGGGAGTATTATATTACATAAGATGAGTTGATGTAAAGTTGTAGGGAGTATTATCTGTTACATAAGGGTGAGTTGTTGTACAGTTGTAGGGAGTATTATCTGTTACATAAGGGTGAGTTGTTGTACAGTTGTAGGGAGTATTATATTACATAAAGATGAGTTATTGTACATTTATAGGGAGTATTATCTGTTACATAAGGGTGAGTTGTTGTACAGTTGTAGGGAGTATTATCTGTTATATAAGGGTGAGTTGTGGTACAGTTGTAGGGAGTATTATCTGTCACATAAGGGCGAGTTGTTATACAGTTGTAGGGAGTATTATATTACATAAGGATGAGTTGTTGTATAGTTGTAGGGAGTATTATCTGTTCCATAAGGGTGAGTTGTTGTACAGTTGTAGGGAGTATTATATTACATAAAGGTGAGTTGTTGTATAGTTGTAGGGAGTATTATCTGTTCCATAAGGGTGAGTTGTTGCACAGTTGTAGGGAGTATTATCTGTTATATAAGGGTGAGTTGTGGTACAGTTGTAGGGAGTATTATCTGTCACATAAGGGCGAGTTGTTATACAGTTGTAGGGAGTATTATATTACATAAGGATGAGTTGTTGTACAGTTGTAGGGAGTATTATATTACATAAGGATGAGTTGTTGTACAGTTGTAGGGAGTATTATCTGTTACATAAAGGTGAGTTGTTGTGTGTGCTGCAGGTCGCCTCCTGGACCACACCAAGAAGTACATGTACGTGTTTCTGCTGGCGGGCAGCGAGGTGTGCCTGTCCGCCATCGTCCTCTTCACCTGCAACTTACTCTGCATCAAAACCAAAGCGCCGGCGGAGGAGGAGGAGCGGGACCACGAGGGGAGCCCCGAGAGCGTGGCCATGACCGCCGACCACAAGGCGGTGGGCGGCGCGGCGGAGCAGGCTCACGGGGACCAGGAGGGGGACAGGATGCTGCAGGGGACGGGAGCCAGGCCCGACAGCGCCGCCGTGGACTCGCAGGAGGTGGAGAGGTTCCTCAAAGAGCCCGAGAATAACGGAGGCCTGTCCCCCAGCCCCGAGACCTGCCTGTAGAGGAGACGCACACTCATGGGTTAAAGCTGCACCGCGTAACTTTTCTTTTAGAAGGTTCTCGACCTGTTTGTCTCCATGCAGATGCTGTAATCTCGTTATCATGTCATTTTTGGACCTTTTAAGACAATTCCAAACGAGTCCACCGTGTTTTTAAAGGTATTAACACACTTGTAACCGAACACATTTCAAGATAGATAAGTTTAAAACCGTACTGCGGAACTTTCCAAAGTACTAACATCATGGAGACAAGCAGGCGGCGACCCCTCCGTCAGAAAAGTGACGTAGTGCAGTTTTAATAGGAGCTGGTGGCGTAGAGACAGGGCTGCACACCGTCGCCGTACATGTTCCTCCGTCGTCTCGTAAGAGCTCAAAACGCTTCGGGCCACAGCTCTGTGTCATTAGGTGGTGATATAAGAACTGCCCTCGCACGGTTATATACACCTTTAACAGCTAGAGCTACTGCTATTAGCCTTATTTAAACCGCTTCACTTACACTTAGCGCCGCAGTGGGCAGTGGCTTTGACCATTTTCAAATACTCCTCACGAGCAGCAGCAGTAGACAGAGTAATGCTTCTAACACTCGCCGCGAAACCACAGCCGCACATCACCGCGAGGACGGCCACTCCGCAGATCTAGCACGTGCACCGGCTCTGTGTTTGTGAATTAGAACGACCGTCAGACTCGAGCGGGCGCGTTTAGTCACTTGTAACAGGTCTACGGTGAAACGAAAGGATGAAATAGACTTGTATTTACTGTCTACACTAACGCCAGCATGACAAAAGTACTTTTCAAAGCACAAACGAACAGGCTCAGGGTGCACTCACTTTAGACTTTAGAATCATGCCCAAGCGCGGGTCGCCCCTAAAGCGCGGAACATTTATCCAGTGTGAGCGCAATCGAGCAGGCAATTGAGACTTTGGTCCGGTTGGAGTTGGCTGATTAGGGATGGGCATTTGAATAATTTTTTTAATCGATCGTCGGGAGAATTAACGATCGATCATCATTATTATTACTATCTGCACTACTAATCTGCATAAATAAACTCAACTTTACGACATATAAACCGTAAACACTCTAGAGCCACATCAGCTCGTTTGACATTATAATGTGTTTAATGCAGATTTGCGCAACTCTCACAGAAACGAAACTTAAAACCGCATCGCTAATTTGCATAAACTAAGCGAAGAAAAAAAACTGCTGTTGTGCGCTGATGCGGCATGACTCAGTGAAATACAGGTTAGTGTGGCCATATTTGCGTTTGTCAAAATCAGGACACCGTACGGGGGGCGGGAGGTGGGGACTCGTTGAGCGACTCTCACCTGGCAAAGCTTTTTCATGTTTTCGGCGTCCTGGTGAGCTTTGTCCCACTGGACACCGAAACATATGTGCCTGATTTGTACACTGTGCACATGGACTCACACTTGTCCCGACCGCAACGGAAAGAGTGAATTTTCTCGTACAAGTCATCGTTAAATATGCAGTTGCGCTTCGGCACGTTGCAGACTGACCGACTGTTTGTGTCTCGCTCCTTCTGAGTGCAGAGAGACACATGTACAGACCCCTGTTTGGTCACCCTACGCTACGCACAGCAACCTACATTCGGTTTGTCGATTAAAATGAACGTATTCGATGAAATTCTTAATGATCAATTAGTAGTCATGCCCATCCCTAGCGCTGATGTTACTCATGCGATAAAAACAGTGAATAAAGTCCATTCTACAGGACACAGTGAATCCGTGCTCACCTTCATTAAGGACTGTGACGGAGACAGACGTTTTGCAGCTTCATCTCCTCCTATCCTCACTCCTTCACACTATTTTTAATCTCCATAAACTCACAGAGGAGCGCGTATCACAGCGGGACTCATATCTGCCACACTATTTAATACATATTTCTGCCGCTGGACTTATTTTCTCCGTTAAAGCGTTAGCTCTGCTGCGTGACATGTAAACATTTCGGTTAAATGGATCGGTTGTGCAGGTGTGAGCGCAGAACATAGAACCATACGCAATCGTACTTGACCACGGCACTGTTCTAAAGTCCTAGTGTGAGTGCGCCCTAACATAAATAATACATAATTGTAATAGAAAATACGCTGAAATTGCACAAAAAAACAACAAATGCATGCTCTCTATGTATTTTCAAGCGTCGTCCAGTGTTTAAAAATAGGCTGGATTATCATGGTACTATTACTCCATACACACGCCTAGAGGACAGTGTGGCCCTCTCTTTTAATGCAGTTTATATCCCCAAAATGTGCATTATTACACGTGTGTGAGGTGAAACACGTGTGCAGTGTGTCCTAGTCCTTAGGGGCACTTTACCCGATTTTTACTGTCCTAAAAACTTGAACAGAAGCCGTTCTTTTTAAACAGGTTTCAGTGGTCCAAAGTTTTTCCTCTCACTTACCTTATGCGTTCAGAGCGTCCTAATTATTCACCAAGATGAGTTTATCAGGACTTTTTGGGATCATTTTTAGAGGCAGAGTTTCACCATCACGATAATGTTAACAACCACTATCAAGCTAACCGTGCACATCCTGATTCTCGGAAAAGAAAACATTATAATTAAACACGACAGCACACAGCGGACTTATTTTGACCTCAAGAGCTGCTTGTACAATCTCTCTGTACTTGCTCAAACACATGAGGAAAACATGTCCAGACCGTTTAATCAAATCTAAACCAGGGCTGGATATAAATCTGTGTATCATTTGTTCATTCGTTTTTCAATATAAAACCAGAAATAAGAAAACGAAAAAAACAACAATTTTCTTCATTATTTGTCTCCAAAACTAAAATGAAACTAGAAAAGCACTCAGAGAGCACAGACCTCCGCCAAGGACTACAGTCCCCCTCATATTAATTGTGTTTTCCATAAATATTTGTCTCGTATCTTTCAATTTGGAATATGAAAGAGGATCCCACTGTCCATCCCTGAGTCAAATTTCATGGGGTTTGGTCAATAATTAACCGAGATATTGAGAAACAAGATTTTGGCCCCATTTACCACAATGTTAACTAAAATTTCAAAGTGAGCCAGAATCCAGGATTTCTTCCGGATCACCCCCAAAATGAAATCAGTTCTTCCTTTTCACATTTCCAACAAATCCTGAAAATTTCATCAAAATCGGTCCATAACTTTTTGAGTTATGTTAACAGCAAACAACAAACAAACAAACAAACAAACAGACAAACAAACAAACAGACAAACAAACAAACAAACAAACAGACAAACGCCGGCAAAAACATAACCTCCTTGGTGGAGGTAAATATGGATAACAATTTTCATTTTTTGATTTTGTGTTTAAATGAATAATGGAAAAAATGGATAAAGGCCATTTCCCGTTTCCGTGACTTAAACTGAGATTTTGGACTGAACCAGGACTGAAATAGGTCTAAACCAGCTCTAAACCAGCTCTAAACCAGCTCTAAACCGGTCTCAGTCCTAGTCTCAATCCCGGTCCTGGTCCAGTCCCGTCTCAGTCCTAAACTAGGACTAAACCAGGACTAAACCAGAACTGAAACAGGACTGAACCAGGAGTGTCTGGACTGTCGGGTGATCAGGAAACCGGGACCAAACTTGGACCAGACCGGGACTCAGACCGAGACCAAACCGAGACTTGTTTTAGTCTTGGTTCAGTCCTGTTTTAGACCTGGTTCTGTCCTGTTTTAGTCCTATTTTAGTCCTGTTTTAGTCCTTTAGTCCTGTTTTAGTTTTAGTCCTGGTTCAGTCCTGTTTTAGTCCTGGTTTAGTCCTGGTTCAATCCTGTTTTAGTCCTGTTTTAGTCCTGGTTCAATCCTGTTTTAGTCCTGTTTTAGCCCTGGTTCACTCCGGCATCACATCTGTTTAACTGTTCCGTATTTTCGAGACAAATTATGAAGAAAACTGTTGCTTTTTCGCTTTATTTCTGGTTTTATATTGAAAAACAAATGAACGAACGACACGCGGATTGATATCGAACCAAATCTGTGGCCTAAACTGTCCGTCTCTGACACGTGAACACAAATACACCGGCGTCTACGTGATTCTAGTCGTCGTCCAGCACCAACACGGCGGACGTTGTGCAGCCCTGCTCCGAGCCCCCGAGCTTGTCCTGCGTCATCCGCGGGGCCACGTGAAAAAAGCCCCCGCGGCGTTGTCATACACGATCACGTTATAATCATCCATGTGCGAGTCCCCGTAGAGATTAACCCCGTAGTCACCAGCAGTCGAGGCAGAACGCTGGACTCTAGTCTGTTTGTGTTGAAGTCTGTGAACGCTGCTAAAAAGTGATTGTACAAGTCCGCATTTTAGTCGACTCCATAGCGTATTTCATGATTACAGCGGGGGTCTTAGATATATATATAGATGCACTATTTTGTTAGGAAATGTGTTAAAAATAGATGCACAAATATGATATAAATGAAAACTTGAATGCATAGTCTTTACTGTGAGCAGCGGAGACCCTCTTTAGGATTCTAATAAAGCTGCTGTTTGGGGAGAAGTGCACAGGTAAAGGTGTGAGGGGTGGGCACCACGCAGATATGAAGTTAAAAAAATCTTGCTGTTTTATTGAAACTAAAAGTGTTTTCGTGCGTCTGTCCCTCAGAGCGTGTAAAAGCAGCTCTGAGGGAGTCCTGGTGAGGATCATTTGAGCCATACATTTCAGCTTGTGCTCAGGCTTCGTGCTGGACAGAAGTCGCATGTTCACACCCGGTATTCACCCGCGTCCGGCTCTAACATTCCTCCTGAATCGATGTGTGAGCGATGTAGTATCTGGTCCGTGTACCGTTCGTTCTTTTGAATTTCAATTAAGAACGACAAACGGTAAAATGGGAAAACAGTTTGTTTTTTCATTATTTCGTTTTAGTGTCAAACAAAAAAACAGGTTTCAACCTCTATTTCCAATATTTAATTTAAAGTTTATTTCATCATACTGTTGGACAATGTTAAAATATATGTGTATGTAAATGTTTGTATAATGTAACACATTTTGGGGTTGCCAAAAACAAATGAATGAAAGATATGGGAAGGGATTAGAAAATATATAAATGTAAATTTGATTTGACAGCCTTAAAAATGTAAATACACACATGCAAACACTGCATTGAGAAACTCTGTACTACAATTTTAGAAGATTGTATTAATAGTTTTATGGTGTCTAAACAAAGGAGAGTTTATCACTGGTCCTGGTCCAGGACTTAGCCTGGAGTGTTGGGACTGTCGGGTGATCAGGAAACCGGGACCGGACTGGGACCAGACCAGGACTGAGACCAGGACTCAGACCAGGACCAGACCGGGACTGAAACTTGGCTTAGTCCTGGTTCAGTTCTGGTTTAGAGCTGGTTTAGACCTGTTCAGTCCTGTTTTAGTCCTGTTTTAATCCTGTTTTAGTCCTGATTTAGTCCTGGTTCATCGCAGTTTAAGTCACGAAAACAGGAATCGGTTGTTATCCATTTTTCCATTATTTGTTTAAACACGAAAACTGAAAAAACGAATCATTATCCATTATTTTATTCTCTCTGTTTTATTTGCCCTGCAAGTCCTGCTGCTTCAGTGTCAACCATGGATCTATAATAACAATTTTAAAAGATTTTATTATAGTTTTATGGTGTCTGAACAAAGGAGAGTTTATCGCTGCTTCCCGTTTCTCATCATGAAGTTCAGCAATAACTTTTTAAGACACGAAATCGCTATAAAAGAAGATTCAAAGGAGAAATTCAGTTTGTCAACTGGACAAAGTTTATTTGGTCAAATACATTTTGCAGCTCATCCTAGAAGATGACATGTTTGTTCACAAAATTGCAAAGATTTTTCACGCAAGTCCTTAATAAGCAGCAGAACTTCCAGGGCGAATAAAACTTCCAGAGAGAATAAAATATCAAAATTGAAATTGGCTTGATGACTGTTTTTTGATGGGTGAAATTAACTTTAAATGAAATATTGGAAAAAGAGCTCGAAATCTGTTTTTTTGTTTGACACTAAAACTGAAAACTGAAATAACAAACTGTTTTCCCATTTTATAGTTTTTCGTTCTTAACTGAAATTGACCATATGACCGTTTGTAATCTACGGAAGCCGAGAGGGGTCACAACAAACACAACAAAAAGCCACAACACACCAAAAAAAGCCACAACTGAAATGACCGCGGGACTCTATATTAATGCAAACGCCGCAACAAATACAAACGGCACAACACAAATGTAAATGCCGCAACACATTAAAAAGCCACAACACATCAAAAAGCCACAACGGAAGTGACCGCGGGACTCTATTTTCTGATGGACCGATCAAGCGGCAAGTGAAGAAGAAGAACTACAACGTGAAACGAATAATGATAAAACAATAAATTACTTTTACTTACGTTTCCAACTTCTCCGTTCCTTTACTTTTCACGTTGTAGTTCTTCTTCTTCACCTGCCGCTTGATCGGTCTGTCGGAAAACAGAGTCCCGCGGTCACTTCCGTTGTGGCTTTTTGATGTGTTGTGGCTTTTTAATGTGTTGCGGCATTTGCGTTTGTGTTGTGGCGTTTGCATTTCTTACAGCATTTGCATTAAAATAGAGTCCCGCGGTCATTTCCGTTGTGGCTTTTTTTGGTGTGTTGAGGCTTTTTGTTGTGTTGTCGCATTTGTATTTGTTGGTTGCGGTGTTTACGTTTGTTATGACCCCTCTTGGCTTCCGTAGTAATCCCATAACGATCGCCACTTTATTCTGAATTAATCCAACAGAACAATGAGCACGAAATTCACTTCAACATGACACACCATATATGAAAATAACGACCAAATGGCCAAACTTCAACACAACTTCTGACATGGGACCAAAATCTGATCTGCCTGGTTTTCATATTCTCAAACACACACACACACACACTGCCCCAGCTGTCCTCACACAGATGTGGCTCTACACAGTGGGATTAATATTGTGTTATGTCTACAAGTAGATGTTTTGTTCCGTTGCATTACAAACAGTGTTGGGAAGAATACAGATGGATTCAGCGTTTTCACATGAAGTTACATAATCTGATAGAATAAAAACACGATGGGATTTGCTTATTCATGTCACAAACCAGAAAGACGTTTGGAAAGATGCGATGACAACTTCCGGTGTCGTGGTAAAATGAAGACTGCAGACGTATGAGCTGTTCGGAATCGTCTCTTCTCATCTTGCCTCGTCTCTTTTAATCGCATGAACCCAGTGTGTCAGTGAGGAACATTGTTGGGCAAGTTATTTCAAAACTGTAAAGTGTTATTTATGACTTGTTATTGTCATTTCAAAGTAATTTGTTACATTTGAATATGACTTTGTTTAAAATTTGAGGCATTACACAACTATTACAGCACTTTTAATCACTTAATATTACTCGCACCAAAATAACTGTGCGAAGATGCTGGACTTTTGCGCCGTATATGGATTGAATCAGGTAAACCAATACTAAACCAGTACTAAACCAGGACTAAACCAGGACTAAACCAGGACTAAACCAGGACTAAACCAGGACTAACCAGGTCTAAACCAGGTCTAAACCAGACTAAACCAGGTCTAAACCAGGACTAAACCAGGTCTAAACCAGGACTAAACCAGGACTAACTAAACCAGGTCTAAACCAGGACTAAAACCAGGACTAAACCAACCAGGACTAAACCAGGACTAAACCAGGACTAAACCAGGTCTAAAACTAAACCAGTCTAAACCAGTCTAAACCAGGTCTAAACCAGGACTAAACCAGGACTAAACCAGGACTAAATCAGCTCTAAACCAGGACTAAACCAGGTCTAAACCAGGTCTAAACCAGGACTAAACCAGGTCTAAACCAGGTCTAAACCAGGACTAAACCAGGTCTAAACCAGGTCTAAACCAGGTCTAAACCAGGACTCAGTCTAAACCAGGTCTAAACTAAACCAGGTCTAAACCAGGAAACCAGGACTAAAACCAGGTCTAAACCAGGCTAAACAGGTCTAAACAGGTCTAAACCAGGACTAAACCAGGTCTAAACCAGGTCTAAACCAGGACTAAACCAGGTCTAAACCAGGTCTAAACCAGGTCTAAACCAGGTCTAAACCAGGACTAAACCAGGTCTAAACCAGGTCTAAACCAGGTCTAAACCAGGTCTAAACCAGCACCAAACCAGGACTAAACTAGGTCTAAACCAGGTCTAAACCAGGTCTAAACCAAGTCTAAACCAGGAACTAAACCAGGTCTAAACCAGCTCTAAACCAGATCTGAACCAGGACTAAACCAGGTCTAAACCAGGACTAAACCAGGTCTAAACCAGGTCTAAACAAGGTCTAAACCAGGACTAAACCAGGTCTAAACCATGTTTAAACCAGGTCTAAACCAGTACTAAACCAGGACTAAACCAGGTCTAAACCAGGACTAAACCAGGTATAAACTACGTCTAAACCTGGACTAAACCAGTACCAAACCAGGACTACTCTTGGACTAGGACTTTGAATCTAGTTCCACCCCTGAGAGAACCCTGAGCCTGTGGAGCAGTGTTTCCTCAAAGCACGATCGGGCGTCAGCTGCAGTTCACACCGTGGAGCGTGGAGTTCTGCGTCGGCCCTTGTGCCCGCGTAGACCGTTGAGTGACCGCGGGCAAAACGACCGCACCTCCGGGCCCGTCCCGACATTCAGAACCGTAACGATGGCGTTTCACCGCTGCTGATATCGCGGTGATTTTAGTGAATTTGTATGAAGAAAAACGAAGAA